ATTTACAACATTTATATTTGGAACAAGGAAAAAGGACATTTTAAAACATTTGCATATTGTTTATTTAACCTTTAATGTAAAATACATCACAGAAGTTTAAAGTAACTCTTCTGTTTCCACGGGATATGGCTTTTCTTCAGTAAACACAGGAGCCCTTTGCTCAAACCGGTAGCACAGGGCCCTTTGCTCAAACCGGGAGCACAGGGCTGTGTCTGGTCCTAATGACCCAGAATTAAAATAGTTTTGATTGTTGTTGTTTTCCTGAGTCCAGTTTTTCTGCTACAGTTCAGTAAAAAGTTTACAAAGAGTTTTGAGAAATGTGTTATAGTCTGAGCCCGTTTATATTTGGATAATTATCAATAATATAATATAATATAAATACATATATTAATCATTCTGCTTTGACAAATATTATTTTTTCATGAATTGTGGCAACATCTTATTTGTCATAATTAAGAACAGCTTCATCCAGGGGCGGTTTTAAAGGGTGGCCCTCCCGCTTACAGGCCCCCATTTAAAGGGGCCAAGGCAACTATAATGGGGAAAAACTATTTTACTTTATTTAAGTATTGTAGTTGCAGACTAAAACAATATAAATGGGAAATAAACATAAAAAACTAAAATATGTATTTACAAAGATTTACATAATTTGTTTCAATTTCACCTCATTTAAAAGAATGAGGGAAAAGTGTTTAAAAGTGCCATGTTTTTACTGTTCCACCTCAAATCTAACACTGGGTCAGGAAGGTCGTGCTAACACCTTTAAATATATATACTTATTATTATTGTACTTAAAATGCATGAATGTGTTCATACGACGTATCCTAATCTACATGATAACAAATAGAAAGATAACATGTACTTTAGCTTGTTTTATTCCTGTACTTTTTTCTTTTTACTTGGTTTCATTTATGAACTTTTATTTATGGTGTAAATGTGATTTTACTGTAAATAGAAAATAAAATGAATCTGAATCTGACATTTGGGCCGGACCAGAAGGATCCTTTGGCCTCGACAGACCACCCCTGGCCACCCCAGGCCACCCCAGAACACCTCAGGTGAAAGTCTAGACCACCCCGGGCAAAGTCTAGACCCGCCCCTGGATATCGCTCTGTTACTGTCCCATGAATATATCAATATTGAGCAACAATATTTTAAGATAAAACCTGTGAGTAAAACCTGCTGCAGTGACGTGCTCAAAGACTGAAGTCGCTACATCGATAACTTTAAGCGTAAAGGGATAAAAGACGTGGATTTTGGGGCAGTTCTGAGCTGGAGACTTGGGAATGTACAGAGTCCTGCATCAAAGGGCGGCTCACCGATGGTAAAAGGAAAGAAGCTGACGTTGTGTTTTATAAAAGGGTGGATTTTTATGCAATTGTGTCATAAAAATTCCATGTAAAAATCAGCAATAATAAAGTTCTTTCCTGAGTCGGAGATAAACCTGCCCCTGTCGGTAGTTTAGTGTTTGTTGTTACCGTCGTTGATTGTGCAGCGGGAAAACCCTGGAATGTTCTGAACTATTGTGGTGCCGTCCTGGTTAAAGTGTGTACCCTGTGTTTTCACATCAGTGTGCGTCAAACTGAGGCTTAAGGAAATATCACTGTTATAGTAAAAGAGTCATTATAACCAGGACACGATTATAAAACACTTTCTGGACAAAAACCATTTATAACAATTATAATCTTGGATTGTGCCGATCTGAACTGGGACCACTCACATTTACTTTATTCTGAAATCACAGATAATTTAAGAAACGGTGTATCCAGTTTGTAACGACTGTGATTTTTCCCGTTCTTAAGCATTGTTCGCGGACTCTAGTTTGACAACCACTGACCAACAGTTTGGCTTCTTAGACTCTTAAGCGTCTTTTTTACAAGACATCATAATGGTATATTACAGCGATGTGCAATTCTCTGAGTATAATATCGGCTTTAAGTTCACATAAATGACTGCAGCATCCTGGCTTTGGGAAACTTGGCGTAAAGAGAGCTCCAAACGTTAAACGTTAGAGAAAAATAAACATGCTTAGTCTCGTTACACATGCACTTCTTCAAACGCTCCAAATAATAAAAAATTTGCATATCACTTTGGCAAGGGAAGAGATACACGTGTCTGCTATATTTTCTGTACATTAAAAAACATTTGATCTTTTACGTATAAAAAAACAAACTTTTTTTTTATATGTCACTTCACAAAGAGCAACAGACAATAATGATCCACGAAAGAAGCAAATGACAAAAGCATAATTTCACATCAAGACAAAAAGACTGAGAGGACTGTAGGAAACGTCACTTTCCTGTTTTAAAACACAGGGTTTGGGTCAGGAGCCTCCTGACCCAAACCCTGGTCCTGGGTCAGGAGCCTCCTGACCCAAACCCTGGTCCTGGGTCAGGTACCTCCTAACCCTAACTCTCGTCCTGGGTCAGGTGCTTCCTGACCCTGGTCCTGGGTCAGAACCCTCCTGACCGTCACCCTGGTCCTGGGTCAGAAGCCTCCTGACCCTGGTCCTGGGTCAGGTACCTCCTAACCCTAAACCTGGTCCTGGGTCAGGTACCTCCTGACCCTGGTCCTGCAGATTAGACCAGAACAGGCATAAGTCTGAAGGACAGCCCCTAAGCACCGTTGGAGAAGGACTTCTATAATCAGACTTTCTGTGTCTGAGTCTGTTTAGAACAGTGAATGTAGATACCTGTAGATACAGTTATGGACCTAAAGACCAGTTGTAAGAGGATTTAGGCACAAACATCATAAAGAGGACATATATTCTGTCATTTTTCCTGCAGTAATAAACCAGAGAGATACATTCCTACAGTCTCTCCGTCTTTTATAATCGAGGTTCAACACTTTCTCTTTTCATTCCTTTGACAGTTTCATGCAAGTCGATATCCAGGCTGGAAATAAATATGCAAAATGAAGAAACCATTGAAATTCAAACGTGCGACTATCCTTAGAAAGACTCACTATAATGTTCACAGCCCGATCATTCAGCCAACTCCTCTGCAAGTCAACATTCTTTCTCTGCTGGGGCTGTGCAACAGACAACGCCATCGTCCACGACTTTGTCCAACAGTTTTATATCTTTGAATGAGTGAAAGACTTGATTGGCCAGTAAAGATACTGTAGGTCTCTGTGCAATTCTCCGCTGTGGTCGTTTTGAGGTGAACCCGGGCTGTAATAAAGTTATAAACCATTCTTTGATCATTTAGTCCAAACAGCGTCCATGACTTTGTTTAAGGCCAAAAAGGTTTAGTTTCTTATCTTTAAATAATGGTGGACTTTCAAAAATAGAATAGATTTTATTGTGTTTATTTTTTTACTTGACAGATGTTTAGAGTTGGAACCTGTAGTTAACGATTCTTTTCACAATAAATGAGTTGTTTAGGTTTTAAAATATAGGTTTTTTATACATTTGACAAAAGCAGAGACAAAGCGATGCCTCTGGAGACTGTTAAACATGGAGTTGTTAGATTTATAACAATAAATAAACACATAAACCTTTAGTCTCTGTAGTTTAATCACGGTCATAAAGAGCCGTTATCTTTGTGTCAGAAAAACACTTTCAGGTCTCGTCTCAAAACTGCTTCAAACTGTTTCTTCTGTGAGTTTGAGAAGGTTCTTCATCAGATGTTTTTAAATATAGCCCAAAGACACATTTGTGTTGAACTGTTTTACATCTACTGCTGTTTAGGTGCCATACAAATAAAGATGACATTTACATACAACCTATTCTGAGCATTTTTAAGTAAAAAACAATAATTAAATTAGGTGGAAACTATTGAAATTATGGATTAGTTGTGATTAATCGATTCACTTGTTACAGCCCGAGGTAGACCCACAATGCACCACTGTCGTTGTTTAATTATAAATAAAATATAAGGGATTTAAAATGTTTGTTCTGTTGCATATCACCAGCATTTATATACTATTTAACATTTCTGACAATCTTCTGCTTTTAAATATTCTGTGAAAATAATGATAGTATTAGAATAAGAAAAACTAAAAAAGAAAAGATACAAACATATTTATACATTTAAAGACAGCACTTGATCTCCCAATGATAAATAATTTGATATAATCTGATGGATAAATAATATTTTCATAGTATTTACTCTTTTCTGTTCTTAAATATCTCAAGGATGGCACCATTGTTTTCTCTTAATAAAAACAAAACAAAAATAATAACAAAATCAGATGTATATATTTTATAAAACTTTAGTAGATGTAATAACGTGATTCTATATTTTTTCTTCTCGTCTCTGTCTTTATATTTCTGAGTTTGGCTTGTGCTTTAGAAGACGGCATTTTGTTCATCAGTTCCAGTTCCTCTCTGATATTTAAATTAGCATTAGCATCATTAAGTCAGCACCACTGCTCATGCTAGCAGCCTCTCCCAAGCTCGTTAGCATCGCCGGGAGGTCTAAAAATACTGTAACTGCCAACCCCAGAGACTTCAGGAACCAAGGACCATTGTTTATGATATTCTTCACGTTTGTTTGTGTAACAGCCACATGTAGCTCAGACACCTAGCATAAACAAGATCCTGTCTCTCAGTGTTTTGGCTCTGGACAATGTTCGAGAACACGTTGACACTAAATTCAGTTTTTTATCTCTTTTTTTATTATTATTATTTTTGGCTTCTTTACTTTGTCGACAAGAGGAAGCAAAGAACAAACTATCCCAGAGTCTGCATCCTGAGCGTTTGTTGCCGTTCCTCTGTACTCCTTTATGCTGCTGACAGCTTTTCCATTCTGTTAGTTTGTCGTGTTCTGGGATGGCTCAAACACAACTGTCAAAGTCAAAGCCGTCGCAAAGAAACAAAACAGTTCTTTTCCTTCAAACGTCCTGTTGAAAAAAACAGGGACAATTCTTTTAAATTAACATCATGACAGAGTCTTTGTTTAATGGGTCTCACTGAACCTCGTCATTACAAAGTCCTATGGATCTCGACCCCTGTCACACATCTTCCAGACCTCCACATTCACTCGTTCATCGACCTGTCAGACGTAGGCCGACTCGCTGGACTGTGTGCGTCCCAGATTGGGAGGTTGAGAAAGATGCGACATGTCTTTCTTCCTGATTTCACAGATGGACTTTCGTCTCGCCTGCACGCCGCGAATGGCCGCCTTGATCTTCCTCCAGCCCAAATGGTTGAGCTCGGCCAAGTTGAGGACCACGCAGATGCCGCTGACCGCAAACATAAACACCAGGAAGACCGTTTTCTCTGTGGGCCTTGACACGTAGCACTCCACTTCTTTGAGACATGGGTAACGGTCGCACTCAAAGATCCCTGGGACGCTGAAGCCGTACAGGAAGTACTGTCCGGCGAGAAACCCGATCTCCAGCGCGTTCCTGAACACCACTTGGATGATGTAAAAGCGAGAGATGCCTTCTTGTCGTCTGACCTTGGAGCTCTTCCCGTGGGTGAGGCCTCGGGGTGCGTTGGGGATTTCTTTGACTTCCAAACAGTCGGGTTCCTCTTTCCCGCCCCCGCCGTCGCCTCCATGTTGAACTAAAATCCCATTAATGTTGCGCAGCTTCCTTGGGCCGTCCCGCCCGTAGTCTCGCTCCATAATGGGGTAGAGGAAAGAGTAGCGGCGATCTTTCTGCTTGGCTGACTGGTGAACCGAATAGGTAATGAAGCATAAGCTCGGAGTGCACACCAGGATGATCTGAAAGACCCAGTACCGGATGTGGGAGATGGGGAAGGCCTTGTCGTAGCAGGCCTGGTTGCAGCCGGGCTGGAGGGTGTTGCAGATGAACATGGTTTGCTCGTCCTCGTAGACGGTCTCTCCGACGATGGCGACAATCAGGATTCGAAAGATCACTACTACCGTCAGTAGGATCCTGGGAAGAGAGAAGAAGGGCAGATGGAGGTTAATACATAATCGCACACAGATGTCCCAAGATATCCTACGTAGCTCCTGAGATAACAAACCAATACAAACACAATAACACTGCTTTACACAGAATAGTTATGAAGGTGGACTCCTGCCACTGCAGTCTGGAAAACGAAAAGTAACTCATTGTAAATTAATTGCTCTTGTGATTCTTTCAAACAAAGCATTTAGTCTTAGTCATACGGCTTGGAGTAAGAAGTTTAGACGTTAGTGTCACTTCATATCCAGTCCAATAGCAGCGGGAGAACTGCCTCTATCTGGAGATATTTATAGAGCTATTATGATTTCTTTAAAAATTATGTTTTCCAAGTCTGTCAAGGTTACAATGTCGCTTTTATTTACAGCCATTTACTATTGTGAGTTTGTACATGTCTCTGAAACTACTCAATGAAGTAAACTTTTGCATAGTAAATTCATCTGAAAAGGACTTTGTCAAGAGAAAGTCACTTATCAAAGCACAAAAGACAGTTATCCACGCAAAAATAAATGTGATGAAAAGCATAATCTATCGGTGAATCTCAAAAGCTGCTCCATGGTCACAATGACAAAAGTATTTCTTTCAACATCTAAATCCTTGAAAAATCTTCTGCTAAAATCCATGGAACACCTTTTTCGTTTGTATATCCTCGACAACTGCAAACTAGATTGGACTCAGAGACAGGGCACTGCCTCTGCTCTTTGCAAAGTGAAAAGATGATTCATTATCTTATTAGAATTATTGATGAAAAAAAAGGTCTCCCGGCTTTAAGTGACGAGTTACATTTACACGTGATGTAAGAACCACTGGTGGATATTTATATAATCAGAAGAAATTTCCTGGAGAACGTCTTACAAATGTGTTTTTCTAAATAAAAAATACATTGAAAATGTTCATTTCTATTGTGTTTATTTAAAGGGACAGTACAGAGACAACACAGACAGTTCCCTGGTGCTTCAAAGATTTATCAATTACTAGATAATTGATTGTATTATGTGTTTGTTGCTCTTTCCTGAACTGAAGATAAGTGCGTTTGTTTTTCAAGAAAGTGTAAAACTATAAGTAAACCAAAAATAAATCAAGACGTTGAAGGAGGGGTGGGAATCAATAAGTGTTCAATTTCATCAAGGACTGGGGAATTACTAACCCATTGTGGTTAAAAGGCTGTAAACCATGTGCATTAGTATCTTTAAGGGTACTGGCTGCAGTGTGCGAGGCCTGATGGACCAATGACAGCGCAGCGTTCGCTCATGTGCAGCACAGATGTGGAGTCAGGAGGCCGGCCTTAATCCTTTCTTCTACCTCTCATCAAAAACACAGTAATGAAAAAGTCCAGTTGCAGAGACCCCCACCTGTGCTTGGACCGAGCTGTGCTGTATCTGGGGGGGGGGGGGGGGCGCAGTGCACAGCAGCAAAACTGTACAAAAAAAGATCAAGCTTTTGCCCTTGTATTGACTCTATTAAGGAGATTAGCGACCGGAAAATTCACAATGCCAAAGCGGCAGGGTATCGCTCTAATATGAGCAGGAGAGAACCACAACGGGTCAAATAATCACGAGAGGAAGAGGAGGATGAGGAAGAGTGAAGACAGAGCCGTTAAGGACGAGTCATATCCACAGTAAGTAGTGGTAAAGATGGCCCCGGAATCACAGTAGCTCAAGGGTAAATGCTTAAAGGTGTATAGGAGGATTCTCTACTTCCGGGTGGATCATCAAGACTATTGGTCCTCCCAACTGTCAATCATTCTACTGATACGTTTTCAGTAAGACCAGAGAGTTCAAAAAGAGGAGAGGGCACTTCTTTCCTAACATTTGGGAAAATCCTCCTTTATACCTTTAAGCCATTCTTAAAAGCTATGGCATAATGCATTGATAGACATTTAGTAAATACGTAAATAGATAGATAAACACCTAGATAGATATAGTTAAAAATTTAGACAGATAGATACAGACAGACCAATAGATAGATAGATTGATACGTAGATAGATAGATGTTATGAGTGATTCTATCTGTGCTAATGTCTCGTGTACATTTCCCCATTGTGAGATCAATAAAGTTTTTCTTATTTTATATTCAGGGGTTTGCTCGACATAAAATGTTGGTTCAAAGTGATTTAGTTCCAGACGGGGATACAAGGATTAAAAAGTCTGAAAACCTAAATGTGGGCAGAGGACGACGTCTGCTGAAATGAAAAGCTGAGCGTTCAGATGGAGACGAGAGAAACAGAAAAACATATAATCAAGGGAAATAAGGATGTCATTCTGTAACTATTCATACAAAAGAAAAACGGCAGCTGTTTAGAAGAGGCGTTCGTCCATACTGTACCCGAGGACCTGTAAATCTGGAGTACTGAACTTTAAACTTCATAAATACACATATTTGTCTCAACAGAAAGAAAGATGTGACATTTTTTAACCAGACCACAGTCTTTTAGATACTGACGGCTGGAAGACTGAGAGGGTTTTATGCTGAAAAATCTGATCAAAAGATGTAAAAAAAACATCGTTACACGGGGTTTTCCAGGAGGGTCCAAGGAGGGTTGAAGGAGGGTCCAAGGATAGTCCAAGGAGGGTCCAAGGAGGGTCCAAGAAGGGTCCAAGGAGGGTCCAAGGAGGGTCCAAAGAGGGTCCAAGGAGGGTCCCATGAGGGTCCCATGAGGGTCCAAGGAAGGTCCAAGGAGGGTCCAAGTAGGGTCGCAGGAGGGTCCAAGGAGGGTCCCAGGAGGGTCCAAGGAGGGTCCAAGGAGGATCCAAGTAGGGTCCAAGGAGGGTCCAAGGACAGAGAGGATCTAGGACCCTCCACTTTCACCCACATTTAAGGATCTATGCTCCTTATGGACCAATGACTCTGTTTGTTTTGTATCATTGCAACTATTGTGTTAGGAGTTAGGGGTTTGGGGTTAGGGTTAATGGTGCGTTCAGACCAAACGCGATTTCTGCGGCCAAATCGCGTCTATCGCGCGGCTTGGGCCGCTTGTGACAAATTGTGGCAGCCGCTGTCACAGAGAAACTTGGCCGCGCGGCCAGGACACTAGAGGGCAGCCGCTGTCACAGAGCGTTGAGAGCGTCTAGGGGCGGGGCTTGTCTCTTTTGCCTGTAGCTTCCCAAAATGGATGTCAGCGAAGGAGTTGCTTTATCTGATAAATAAAGCCAGACACGTCGTCAAAGGGCGAATCGACGACGTGTCTGGATTCATCAGATAGTCCGTAGACGGTTGGAGTTTGGTGAGTTTCACCATTTGCTCCGGGAGCTGCGCTCGGATGAGGGTCGCTTTGACGACCTACTGACCCGCATTGGCGCTAGGGTCTCCTACCAGGACACCAACTACAGGCGCTCTATTCCAGCTGAAGAGCGCCTGTCCATCTGTCTGCGGTTAGTGTTTTTTACCCCATTCAGAATTCATAAATACTTACAAAGTGTGTCATTTTTCAATCACAATCCACAATGTAATAGCTCAGAAAACAGTATTATGCAACAATATGGTGTCTATGATTACTGTCTATGATGTTTACTGTCTACTAGTTTAACGTATTTTATGCTACACAAGTTTTGTCACGTGATTTTTATGAATGTAATTGTGATAAATATGTTCATATCATTTTGTAATTGCAGGTTTCTTGCCACTGGGGACTCCTACAGGACCATTGCGGGGAGCTTCAGAGTGGGCATATCCACCGTCTCCATGCTCATCCCAGATGTGGTGGCAGCCATCTGGGACTGCCTCGTGGAGGAGTTCATAGCTGTGCCTGGAGCAGAGGAGTGGAGGTCCGATGGAACTTCCCTCTGTACTGTGGGGCCATTGATGGGAAGCATGTGGCTGTGAAGGCACCCCCCAACTCTGGGTCCATGTTTTTTAATTATAAGGGGCACCATTCCCTTGTGCTCCTGGCTGTAGTGGATGCCCAGTACAGGGCCAGGGTGATTGATGTGGGAGGGTACGGCAGATCCAGCGATGGAGGCATCGTGTCCAACTCTGCCTTTGGTGAGGCTCTGCGCGAGGGCACACTCGACCTGCCTCCTGACCAGTGCATACCTGGAGCTGACCACAGAGGACCCCAGCCCCATGTGTTCGTGGCAGATGAGGCCTTTTCACTGCGCTGCAATTTAATGCGCCCTGCCCATCTCCAGCCATGAGGATGGCTGGAGATGGGCAGGTTCCTGCACCGAGGGGAGCTGCTGCCGGTGAAGAACCACTTCCAGGCGTGCAGCGGATGGCCGCCTGGAAGCCAGCAGTGGACATAAGGAAAGTGTTCATGGCCCACTTCAGTGAGGAGGGAGCACTGCCGTGGCAGCCCACAGAGTAGTCATGTCCACCACAAGACTGACCCACATCTGGCCATAGTCCAAACCCATATTGATTTGCACTATTCTATTCACCTGTATACCTTCTGTTTCTAGGTAATGACTGCCAGACTCCACTGCGACTCCACTCCAACGTCAGGTTAATCATATGCACATTCAAGCTTTTCCATAATTACAAGGTTGTTAAAACAGTAAAAGGTGAAATGAATAAAAAATACTGTCAACTACTGTATCGCTCTTTAAGTGTTAGTTATTCCATCTTCTATAAAACCCAGTCAGCTCTTATTAAAGTAAATGTACAAATATAGAATAGCATTTTCTGTCAATATTATATGAAAGGTAGTAATGGTTGGCTTGAAGTAGAACACATGAGGTTTGAAAAATATTTTCTTTATAAAAAAAAGGAACAAACAATGAAAAATAAATGAAATGTACATATAAACAAATGAAAAGGAGCTTGCTTGGAGGAGGTGCGGTGGAAGAGGAAAGGGACACATGTCTGTTTCCTCCCCTGCAAAAGGTGTCACCTTAGGTAAAAAAACTGTCTGTTCTGGCCAATGGTTCCAAATTAAGCAGAACGGTGCTGCTTTCATATAAAAGTTGGTACATTTTGAATTTCACAAATTCTTTTGACTCTGGTGCCACCCTTTGCAGGAGAGGAAAGAGAGA